TCTCCACTCCGCACTCCCCCCATCATTCACTATGGTAAGATTTTTTGTTCTGATGATGCCTTGTACCTGATCCCTTCGACACCTCGTGATCGCATAGGCTGGTGTGCTTCGTTGCTTCTGAGCTTGATGGCCGCTTCATTACCTTCAAGAGGCTGTACATCTTTATGAGAGCAGAAAACCTCATCTTTCCCATACAGAGCAGCTGGTGGGTTTGAATCACCAACCTTGAGGTTAGCAGCCAATGCATCACCCACTCTGCCACAATGGCTCCGTACCCATTCAGAATTCTCACTGCCATCAAGTTGATTCCAACTCATAGTGACCTTATGGAACAGAGTAGAATGCCCCCGTGGGATCCTGAGACTGTAACTCGTTATGGGAGTAACAAACCTCATCTGTCTCCCTCGGAGCGGCTGGTGGTTTCAGGCTGACCTGGCAGTTGGCATCCTCAGGCATTTGTAAGCCGCTACGCCACTAGGGCTTTTAGGGATATTTAAACCAGTGCTCTTCCTTGCCCTGGCCACTGGCGAACACTACGCCAGTGCCGGATCTTCTGACCGCAGAACTTCCAGGTTCTCACGCATCCCTAGCTGCATTCTGTGTCCATCTTCCTTCGTCTCCTCCATGTGTCCAGATTTCCTCTCCTTTCAGCTATGCCATGATAGTACCACCTCTTTGAAACTTCAGGTCCTTTTGGAACAAGATAGGGCAGATTTTAAAAAATACGTAAAGATGAATGTAATTCATTATTGATCAAGGGTTGCTTTTCAGCAAAAATAACGCTGGACCGGCTTTTACACATCTTTATTCACATATCACTGTAACATCAGCCCATTTGAATGCCACCTAAGGAATGGACCTGATAATGAAAAGTGCAGTGACCAGGAGACCTGCTTCCTGTCACTGAATCATTTTGGCAGCCGGCCTCCTGCGATGCTGGTGTAACAGACCCTCGGAATGGACTGACTGTAGGCTTCCCCTGGACGGTCCGCGTGAGGTTGGTTCACTTGGCACTGCTTTCTGTGATCTTCAGCCGAGAAGAAGGTGTTTCCTGAAGGCAGCATTCGGAACCCGATCTCCCCAAGATGATGTGACGAGGCAAAGGGCACTCAAGCTGATGCCACCCAAGAGTCGCAGCCAGTGTTCTACACCAGCTTGATTTCAGCTCACCGCAAGGTCAAGTCGCAAATGCTCACCTTTGCAGTATTCTTCGGGATACCTTGGGGAGAATGAGTCCCGACACAGACATAGAGGCACAGTTTTTAAAATCTTGAGACCAAGGAATTGTTTTTCAAACAGTTTCTATATGGAAGGGGCCCAGGTGGCCCTGGCTTGCAATGCCTTGGGAGAGGCAGTCCAGAGCCAGCTCACTTATCTCTGATTTTAAAATAATTCATCTCCTTGCTGAGAATGCAGGTAAGCAATGGAGAGAGTGGTGCGTCTGCAATACCTGAAAGAATCAAACAAAGAAGGGGAGAAAAGAAAAGAGAAATCTCAAACCATCACAAGGGCAACGATTTGAATCATGTTTTCAAACAGCCCAGATTGGAGGGTGGGGTTCGCCCGCTTTATGCAGAAGCAGAAAGTGTGCAGAGGGCATGGTGGGAACTCACTTGGAGCCAGGAGAAAGGTCAGGTGTGTGTGTGCTGAGTCAGCAAAGACAGGGCTGAGGGTAGGACTGCACCTTCTTGTGGCTTTTCCAATGAGCTGAGTACTCACCGGCGGGAGCTAAGGATTTCAACGCTTCCAGAAGATGAGGACTGGAGAACTTGACCAGGCACCGAAGGGGTTCTTCCCGCTCAGCCAAGATGCTCCTGCTGAAGTCCCCTTTGAACTTCGTCTCAAGCTGTCGAAAAATACATTCACAAATGATCATGAACCAGGTCTGTTGTCACGGTCAAAGAGTAACACAAGCAGATCACGAGGCTCATGATTTCTATCATCAACAAGTAGAGGCTGAAGGGGAAGTACACGTGGATTAAGTCTCTGATGAATCCCCTCTGACCATAGACCAGGGAGGTGAACAGCCTTGCTATCATGCAGCGTGCACTGGAAAGTGGATTGTTGCAGGTGCAGTTAGACTAAAATTTAAAACCTTATTGCTTGACCTCCCTTCTGACCCATTTTAAATTTTTAATAGTTTTATTATTCTTCCTTTCTTTTTGATTGAGGTTTTTCTGCTTCACTTTATTATTGCTAGTTTTTTTTCCCCTTCGGTTGTTGTTTTGTATATTTTTCTGCACATGAAACTCATGATAGGTAAATCTATAGTTATGACAACTGGATCAATGGTTTCTTGCATTAATGGCAGGAGAGGCTGGCGGGATATGGGGAGCTAATAACAAGTACACCCCAAAACCCCGTGTGTGTGTGTGTGTGTGTGTGTGTGTGTGTGTGTGTGTTCTCTTTTAGGAAACATTGGTAACTTGTAGTTCGTGTGTACAGCTGCACCCCACCTGGTATTGTGCAATTTCCAGTCTTGGCTGAGGGTAGTCTCCAAACGTTTCTCGTGTCACTTTGTGGATTCTCTCTTTTTCCAGCTGGTTTTCGTGAATGATCCTTAAATCCGCTAGAGGGAGAAGGTATCACATGACACAGCCATTAGGAATATAAGCATTTTTTTATGCCTAAAGTGTCTTTTCTTCCATACCTCATTTTCCCACAAACTCTTTGAAGCCCCACATACCAGCCTTTTGGTGAGATGAAAGAGAGAGGAACTCTCAGCTAGCGTTTGTTTTATTTACCAGATGACATTCTGGTAAGTTCTAAAGGAGGCCTAGGGTGGCTTAGCTCTACCTTTCAATGATCTGGAAGTAATTAGAGTTGTGAATGAGGATGGAACTATATACACATAAATACACGTGTGTTCTACCGAGACAGCAGAACCCTAAAGAAGGAACAAAGCCCTTGGACATGTCAGTCTGCTCTTGGACACACGTACTGTTCTTAGGTAGCCACAGGCTTGTTTCCGGGAGCGGTGTAACTGAATTGTGCGTCTCAAAGACCTAGAAAACAAATAAAACACGCCCCAAAGTCAGTATTTTCTTAAACGTTTTTCACATGTGGTTAACATGTTCTACATGTACAATCCAGTAGTGTTAACCACGTTCATCTTAAACAGCGCTATTTACTTCTAGAGCTAGCCATCACTCTGAACAGAAGCATAGTGTCCCCCAACAATGAGACCTCCTATCCCTTTCCCCACTCCCCGCCCCTGGTAACCACCACGGAACTTGACTTGACTGGTCTACATGTTGCATGTGGGTGGGATCATAGAGTATGTGTCCTTTTGTGAATGATTAATTTCACTCAACACGAGGCTCATCCACGTGGCAGCATGTCTTAGGACCTCCCCTCCTCTTCAGCCTGAGTAGTTTCCCAGTGAACGGCTATGCCATTCTGTTTACCCATTGGTCAGCTATCGGGCCTTTATGTGGTTTTCACCTTTTGGCAGTTACGAATAGCGCTGTGGTAGACACTGGTCCAAGCAGTTCAAAGATCTGGATTGCATGGGAATTCCATGTCTCACTCTGAGGAACGGCCAACTATTTTCTGGAACAGCTGCATCATTTTCCAAACCCACCAGCAATGGGCAAAGGTTCAGATTTCTCTCCCTACTTGCCAGTTTGAAAGGCAGTTGCCCCCGGGCTCACCTGATTATACTGTTTGAAAACAATAGCCTTAAGAGAGTCCAAGTACCGGCTCTTGAGGTCCATTTTCACCATCTGATGGTGCTTGGTGGCCTTTGTCAGCGCCTGGAAATGAAAGCCAGCAGGACTGTTGGCCCCACCACCAGGGAGCGGTTTTCCCCGAACCCGGGAACGAACTGCAGTGACATCTCCTCAAGGTTTGTCACTTGGCTTACAGGACCAAGAGTGGCTGGTGCCGTCTCATAAATGCCAAGATTGAAAAAAATCATTTTATTGGGGACTCATATCTCGTTACAATCCATATATTGATTGCATCAGGCATGTTTGTACATATGTTGCCTTCATTCATTTGCAGACATTTACGTTCTATTGAGCCCTTGGTATCAGCTCATTTTCCCCACTTTCTCTCCCCCCACTCACCGCCGATACCCCTTTGGTAGATTATAAATTATTATTTTCATATCTTACACCCATCACTGTCTCCCTTCTCCCATGTTTTCTGTTGTTCTTTCCCCTGGAGAGGGGTGTATGGTTATGTGTCAATCATTGTGATTAATTCCCCCCTTCTCTTCCCCTTCCCCCCTTTATCCCTATCCTTATGGTATTGCTATTCCCACTCCTGTTCCTGGATTCCATGTGTCATGAGCTCCCATCTCTTTTCTATACCTATGTACATGTTCCAGTCTAGTCTGAATTGAGAAGCAGTACTGGGGTCATGATAGTGGGGTGTGGGGTGTGAGGAAGTCTCAAGGAACCAGAGGAATACAGTGTTTCCTCGATGCTTTACTGTACCCTGGTTGACTCATCCCATCCTATGGCCCGTCTGTGGGGAATTGTTCCATCGTCTACAGGTGAATGCCAAGATTTTTATATCGTTGAAACAAAAAGTGAGCTTAGGAGCTGATACCAAGGGCTCAAATAGAAAGTAAATGTTTAGAAAATGATGATAGCAACATTTGCACAAATATGCTTGATACAATTGATACAACAGAAAGTTATAAGAGCTATAAGAGCCCCCAATAAAATGATTATTTTTTAGAGTGATCTTGTTCAAAGTAAAGAATCATAAAAAAATCTTAATTTCAGACTTAGGAGTCAACAACATATTCTCAAAACATGAACAGTTTTAGAAAACCAGTCATCTAACAGTTTAATGAAACTGCCATAAGGAAGTGCAAACACGCACACATTAGTGCACACGTAGAAGGGATAAAGTCAATTAAATGCAGTTTGCGAAAGTTTTCCACGGCCCAAGGAGACAAAGCAGAAGACTGAAACAGAAGTAGCAGACTGAAACCTGGAACTCAGGAACACACTGCCATCGAGTTGGCTCTGACTCACAGCGACTCTATAGCACAGGGTAGGCCTGGCCCTGTGGGCTTCGGAGACTGTAATGCTCCAGTGGGCTTTTCCCACTGGAACTGGAGAGCAGTTGGTTGGAGCTGGTTTTAAGGTTCAAATAGAAATGAACATTAGCCTTTGGGCAGTGGCAGGGTGGAATGACCCCGCTGTTAGCAGATGAAAGCCCTCTTTGTCCTGGAGGAGAGGGCCCCCAGATCTAGAGAAGCAGAGAGAAGTGTTACAGGGATGTAGACGCAACAGCAGACTTCTCAATGCCATTGCAATAAACAACCCAGGAACTTAAATGGCAGGGAAGCACCATGGTGGGCCACCTGCGGCTGGCTGGGTTCACAGCAGTGGAGAGCCCAAGGCACCCCAAGTTCCTGGGAGGTGCAGCCAGGCAGTGGAACTGCTGACCTACAGCCGGCTCAAGGGCTGGCTCTGGAACCATTATGGATGCCACTGCCCTTGTGAAGGCTCATAGGGGAGCACTCGCAATGGTCGCCAGGCCAAGTTAGGGAGGGCATATTTTGCAGGAAGCTACTAGGAAGCTGGGGAGACAAAGACAGTGCCACAGGGAGCAGTAGGTACACAAATGATGAAAACAATGTTCACCAAGAGGCAAGTGATGCAGCCAGGGGAAAGCAGTGACCACGAGGAAAGGACCGGCGAGGGTACAAAAGCTAATCACAGAACGGGATGTGACAAAATAAGGAGCCACAGTGGCACAGTGGGTTGAGCATGGGGCCGCGAACCACAAGGTGGGTGGTTCAAACCCACCAGTCGCTCCTCAAGAGAAGGATGAGGCAGCCTGCTCTCATAAAGACCAATAGCCTTAGCAACCCCAGGGAGCACTTCTACTCTGTCTTACAGGGTGACTAAGCGTCAGAGCAGACTTAATGGCCGTGGTGAGCGTTGTAAAACATCTTCCGAAAGGAAAAGGAAGGAGAGAGGATGTTTTGAAAGACTTTTTGTTTTAGAGACTTCTGTATTGGCTGCTCTTTCTACATTTGAAACGTGTTACATCTAGATTGAAAGACAAAGAAGAATTGATGCGAATTAATGTCCCAGCCATGTTCCCAGGTGCAGAATAACAACCCACCCTGTTCCTCACTTTAGGATGTCAGGGATCATTGGCGGTATTCGGTATGAAATGCTTATTGAGCAGTTTAACCGGGCACAGCCCTTTTTGGGAAGGATAATGAAACTCGATACCTTGTGAGAATCTGTTCCTTACCTGAACCAGAAGGGGGAAATTGCTTTTCAGCCTGGAGAAGGACATGAACACATACGGAGTCTGGGGATAATACACAACGTAAGTAGCTTTGTACTGGTTTGGTTTCTTGTGATGTGTTCCCCAGGCAATCCGAATCCATACTGCATTCTCCTCATCTCTGAAGCTGACTATCACCTTGTTAAAAAAGACAGGAGTTTCTCAATTAGAATCTCATGGCTGTACCAATCACAGGTATTTATTTCTGAGGGGTGAGAAATGTCATTGTCATACAACCACTGTTCTCCCCACATCTGGGACAAAGAAGGGTGAAGAAAACTGAAGGCCCATGGAAACAACTAATTCAATGGATGAATGGACCATATACATCTCAGCTTCCACAACCCTGAGACCAGAAGAACTAGAATGGTGCCCCGCTGCCATTACTAACTGCTCTGAAAGGGGATCACATTACAAGGTGGGAGAAAAACATGGGATGGAACTCAACGTCATACAAAAGAACAGCCTTGTTAGTTGCATAGAGCCCGGTGGAACCTGCAAGACTATAGCCTTCAGTCACCCTTTAAAACTGAGACTGAACCCACCTCTGGGACTCAATGTTCAGCCAAACAATAGTTAGGTCTATGAGGGGAACAGTAACATTAGGGAGGTCCACACCCCCTTCAAATAATCAACCACTTGAGATCAAAAGGGGAACAGGTGCTCAGGGACAAAGATCAGAAAGGTTAAAAAAGGCGCACTAACGGAAACAGGAAACACAGGGAGGAAGTGGGATCCGTGATGGCGCATTGTGGGATGGTTTATGATGATGCATAGCGTTGTAAGCAAAGCTATGAAAGAAAATGTGTCTCAATTGTTCAACGGAAAACAAATGTGGCTCTGTAAGCCAGTACCTGATTCCCAATGAAAAATTTTGATACATGGCTATGACGGAGGGCCAAGGCTGGCTGAATGGGAAATGGATTTGCTCAGCAAACTGTCCAAATCACAATAAAAAGCTGACGGGGAAAAATGGAGAAAGAGGGGGAGCTGGAACCTTGGATGTCTGGCTAAGAGGCTGAGAGGCTCCCAGCCTCCAGCTGGGAAGGCTGAGGCATCAGTCAGCAGCTTTCAAAACGGGAAACTGTGCTTCGTGCCCTGTGCCTGCTTTCCTCTCCCAGTTAAGAACCAGCTGAGCAGAAACGATCCCACTGCTGTACTGGATTGGGAGCACGGCAGGGTATGGGCATCTGCTGGAAAATACTCTGGGGGAGTTTTCCAGAGACACATCTGTGCCTTGCCGTCTTATAGAAGGTTAAAAAATAATAATAATAAATTCTCCCTCAGGGCCTGACATCAGGATGTCCCCATAACTTCTTGGGCTTGTCCTCAAAAAGCATGCTCTCCTTCCTATATGGGTATGAGCACGACAGCCGTGTGGATAGATTCCGTGTTCACGGGAGCCATTTTTGCATCTAGCGCAGACTTAGGGTGCACAGCCTAGTCAGAGTGACACTGCTCTGTAGTAGTAAGCTTAAAGACAGACCGATCCTCGTGCTTTTATGCATTTAGGTCAGATGATAAAAGCAACAAAAATACCAACGATTTTGTGTTGCTTTATAATCTTGACGGGTCAATTCTAGAGTTCTAGTCAAACACTTTTGTTAAGTAGGAGCTGTGGGGAGAGTAAAGTGGTGACTTGCCTTAACGGCTATTAAACTATTTTTAAAGGTATAGCAATGAAAGGAATGTGGAATCTGCAATGCTGTGGTTAGGTGTTAGGCTGCTAACCACAAGGTCAATGGTTCAAACCCACCAGTTGTTCCTTGGGAGAAAGATGAGGCTGTCTGCTCCTATAAAGATTCTGTTTCAGAAGCCCTAAGCACGGTGGCTATGAGTCTGAATCAAGTCCGTGACAGTGGATATCGGGCACTGACACAACACGCCCATCAGGGGGAGACTTCTGTTGGGCAGGGCTGGTCTTGAACAAGAGGCAGCGGGTCTTGTGTTGGGAGGTGAGGGGGAAAGAAGGTGTTCATATAAAAAGTCTGTTTCCAGTATGGGGCACAACAGGCAGTCCCAAGAGGACACACAGTTGTGTTCCTTAGTCTGCCTTTAAGCCAGATTTGGGTGTTACTTTGGACAATTAGGTATTTCAAATGTTTGTCTTCGTACATAGTATATCTTTTGATGCATAAAAAACATTGTATAAACCTCCAATTTTTAACACAGTGGGCTTTTGGGGGGTGGGAGGGGCCCTGGTGGCATAGGGGGCTATGTGTTGGGCTGCTCATTTCAAGATCAGCAGTTCGATCCCATCAGCCGCCCTGTGGGAGAAAGGTGAGGAGGCCGTCTGCTCCCACAACGAGTCAACGTTACGGAATCCCAAAGCAACAGCAGCTCTATTCTGTGCTGCTGGGTCGCTCGGAGTTGGGATTGACTCAATGAGGGGAGCTGGTTCACAATTACAGGTTGCACGTAGTCAAACATTTATAGCCCAGGGACTGCCAATATGGAACTTACCCATTGATAATAATAATAATAATAAAGAACACAAAACCCAAACCAAACCCACTGCATGGAGTTGATCCCCACTCACAGAGGACAGACCAGAACTGCCTCTCAGAGTTTCTAAGGTGGTCAGTGTGGAGTGGACTGCCACACTTTTCTCCCAGAGCGCTAGTGGGCTCAAACTGCCACCCTTGCAGTGAGCAGCTGCTTCTATGTACTTAACCACTGTGCCACCAGGACTTCTTAAACGAATCCAGTCAACAAACCAACAGGGGAGTCCCATAACTCCAGCGCACAGGTCGCACGAAATGGGAACAGAATGAAAGCCCCGAGGCATTCTTCCCCTTACGTTCTTGAGCGCCCTCCGAAGAATCTGCGTAAAGGAACTTTTGAACTCTTCCATGTCGAAAAGGTCAGCATCACCACCTGCCAAAGAGCAAAGGGAAATCAAGCCCCTGCCTCTCTGGCAACCTTATCCGCAAAGGTCCTCAAAGGGAAGTGTTTCGTGCAACCACCAAGGGCAGCAATGATCAGTGACACGAGCTACCGGGGCATCTGGCATGGCACCCCGACACTTGGGAAGCTCTCAGGCTTCCATAAAAGAGTACTGACCGCCTTGCTTCGAAAGACAAGGAGATGGAAGAGAAACAGTCGCCGGAACGTCAAACAGAATGATTCCCTTCAAAGTGGGGACTATTACCTGCTTCTTTACTCATCTTAAAGACGTCCCAGAGTCTCTGGTGCCGATGTGCCTGATGATCTGAGAGAGAGAGGAGAAGCCAATTAGCTACTGGTACACCACAGCCCTCTGAAGGCACGTGAAGTCACTCCCATGATAGGACACCAACCGGAGCAGGTCACAGTCATTTACAAACCACACGATGTGGCTGTTGTGCGCTGTCCAGTGGGTTCTGACTCATCGTGACCTTACAGGCTAGGCAGAACTGCCCCCGTGGGTTTCCTAGGCTGGGATTTTCATGGGACCAGCCTGCCAGCAGGCTCTCTTGTGGTGCCACTGCATGGGCTTGAACTACCAACTTCAGGGTTAGCAGCTGGGTGCTTAACCATTGCACAAGCCACATCAAACAGGTTCAGCTTTGCATTCAAAATATAGATGCCTTCAGAGCTGGTGTGCTTGCAGGCGCAGGGGCTAACAAATAAACATCATAATCAATAACTGACAGCACGGGAGAAGGGGATAGTGCTAGGAAACAGGAAAGGTAGACCCTGTCAGGACAGGGCCACAGACCCCTCTCTTCTTCCCTCTATTGTGGTACTTATTGCAAGGGCTTTCTTGTGGCGAATTGCTCTGTCTCCTCACTTGGACTGGGTCTCTTAAGGGAGGGAGAACCCCTTCTGTATGGCTCAACGGTGCCTGGCATCGTGCTTGGCAAATGACAGGTGTTGAATGACCATGTGAACGAGGACCTGGGAAACAGTAAACATGTGGATCCACCTTTTATGGACTACATGCCACCCGGTCATGGAAAGTCGGACACAGTGATCCAGAGGCAGGCTCTCCAGATACATCCTGACATGCCACACTGGAGTGACACCAACCCTCCTCAGTTGTTGACTCTGAGCCCTTACCGATCACATACAGAACCGCTTCTCTGAAGCAACAGACAGCTCAGCGCACACGCACATCACCAGAACTTACAGATGATGTCCAGAAGGGCGGCGTCCTCGAGGCTTGCACACTTCTCCTGAAAGAGAGGAGGAAGCCTTTGTTTCTTTCTTTCTTTCTTAACAGTCATGGGTACTTTCAATATCCTCACCAGCACAATTCTAGTGCACCGTTTCTTCTTCGGTCTTTATTCAGTGTCCAACTTTCACATGTATAGGAGGCGATTGAAAATACCATATTAAAAAGAGAAAAAAGCAAAACAAAAGAAAATACGATGTAAACACAGTCTAGAAAACTGTATGGGGCAGTTCCACTCAGTCACCTGGGGCTTCTAGGACTCAGAAGTGGCTCACTGGCATCTACCAATGATTGTAAGCCTATTTCCCTCTGCCTGTTTGCCATCTTGTTTACATAGCACACTTAGATATGAAACACATGCTGTTGTCGGTTGCCAGTGAGCCAGTTTCCACTCAGAGTGACCCCACGCATAAGAGAACAAAATAGTGCCCAGGCCTGCACCAGTCTCACAATTGTTGCTACGCTTGCAGCCATAGATACTGATAAATTAGTGTATTTTTAAGTCTACACGCAAATTCTTAGATGCAAATATATAGAAATTTATAATTAAAATATTATTTGTTTACATCTCCTCATTTTCTCAGAAAACAAAACAAAACTCTCAGAAGTGGAATCCCTGGGCCAAAAACCATATGTATTTAAAAGGAAACCAGAGGGAGTCTACAAAACTTCTTTGACTATACTTCTATCCATCCTGCTAAGTATAAAATGAGCTTAAAATAAAAAGCAAATGATAGTAAAAAAAAAATACATGCAAAGAGAATAGCTCTTTCTTCAAAACTTTGGAACATGAGACTTGGTGGGGTGATGGATTAAGCGTTGGGCTGTTAACTGCAAGGTCCGCAGTTCAAAACCACCAGCCAGTCTGTCAGAGAAAGATGAGGCTTTCTGCTCCTGTGAAGCTGCGCAGTCTTGGAAACCCACAGGGGCAGTTCGACTGTTCTAGAGGGCTGCTGCGAGTTGGAATTGGCCTGACGGCAGTGAGTGGAGTTAGAACAGAACCCAGTCCTCATTGTTTTCATTTAGGAGCTGCCTTCCGTTTCCCTGGGACCAAGGGATAACCATTCTGAACACTGTTACCTCACAGAGTAGAAGCAAGTCCTGCATAAGAGATTCCTTTCTCTGCCGGAAGTTCACGGTCTGCAGTTGATGCTCAGACAGAAAGTCCCATGTCTTTAGGATTGTCGTCATTTCATCCAATCGGATTTTCAAGAAGATCCTCTTGACAAACTCAGCAACAGTCTCATCCATCTCCTTAGGCCTTTAACAAAACCAAATCAGCACAACCAGTAAGGTGACCAGATTCAAAGCGGGACACCATGGACGGGGGTGGGGGTGGGGGAACTCTTGATTAAAATTTTGGTCTATATGGACCAAATAGACCGTTCCCTAGCTTGTCATGCATTCTTTCCAAAAATTGGGACTGTCCCACCAAAAGCGGGACATCTGGTCACCTTAAGTAAAAGCCAAATATAATTGTGAACATTTCAGT